ATATTTTATTTGGTAGAATATGGCACCACTTACCACTACGTACCGTACCGCAAACTCTGGAGATAATGTATAGAAAATGAATAAATTACAAAGTTTAAACTAATTTAACCACTTTCACACATAGTACTATTGTTTGGTTCACCCACTAATTAAGACGACAGATCGAGGGGATAAAACTAATAATGTTGTTGTTTTTAGTTATATGGTTTTGTGTAGACGTACCGTTTGCCTACCCTAACCATAATGCAACCTCCAAAGTACTGCACTAATTAACTTCTCCAAATGACCGAATGATCTCATTCACTCCACATTAGTTGTTCCCATTCCTTCCAACCATTCTTTTGTCTTCCCATTATTTGGTATCCACTCTCTTTGTTTTGTCTCAAATGATGAGTGTATGCATGTGTATGTATGTATATATGTGTGCACCCCTCCCCCGCAAACCACATCCTGATAGATAAACCCTAAATAAGTGATCGAGTGGATGAAATATGATTCTCATACTAAAAACATTTAAGTTTAATACTTGTCAATACCATATCGGTATAGCCTGTTGCACAAGATTTTCCTAGTGTGATTTACTTTTTATGTATAGTTTGCGTGAGTATTACACAATAATAGAGTTTACCCCGTGCACACTTTTTGATAATGATTGTGTGTTTCCATCGGACAGAGCTCATGAGTGATATTTATCACTTTAGTTTAATTTTGGATCATATCATCAAAGATTTGCGAACCAAAGGGTGATAATGAGTTATGGCTCAAATTAAAACCGATCAATTCACACATATTATTAACATTAACTTCTAGGTTTATATGCTTAATGATACGAATATATAAATCTTTGTTGAGCGATTCACATATCACATGCATATAGCCTTGATCGAGAAGATGAAAGAAGAAAGCCCTCATATTGACCTTACCTTGTACCTTTTCGATTGCCACAAGATAATCAATCTCAAACTCTCAAAGTCTACAACTCTGAAACCTCTTCCAACAAACCATAATAAATCGCTTATGGAACGTTTGGTTGGGAGGAGGGAATTAGAGGAGAAAAAAATTGTAATTTCGTGATAATTTAAATTATATTATTTGATAGGTAGAAATAGAATGATTGGAATTGAAAGGAAAGAAGTGAATAAAAGATTAAAATGTCATTGTATAATAATAATAATAATAATAATAATAATAATAATAATAATAATAATAATAATAATAATAACAACAATAATAACAACAACAACAACAATAACAACAACAATAACAATAACAACAACAATAACAAAATAACAATAATAATAATAATAATAATAATAATAATAATAACAATAACAATAATAAGAATAATAAGAATGACAATAATAACAATAACAATAATAATAATAATAATAATAATAATAATAATAATAATAATAATAATAATAATAATAATAATAATAATAATAATAATAATAACAACAATAATAACAACAATAACAATAATAACAATAACAATAATAATAACAATAACAATAATAACAAAATAATAATAATAATAACAACAACAACAACAAAAATTTATTATAAAATCACAATTCCACAAGTGTAGATCAGAAATGCAATTCCTGGGAAGAACCCTAGGAATTGTAATTCCATGGTTGGAGGGTATTGCAATTCCTTCAAACCAAATCTTTTAAACTACGGGGGGTGTATTCAATTATGACTTTTATAAACTTTTAAAAAATTTTATGAACTTTAAAAGTTTGGAGGTGTTCAATTCAAACTTTTAGAGAGTCTTTAAAAGGCAGACGGTATTCAATCAAGATTTTTAAAGAGTCTTTAAAAGTTCGGTGGTATTCGATTAAGACTTTTAAAGAGTCTTTAAAAGTTATGCGGTATTCAAAAAGTTATGACCTTTTGTAGACTTTTTAATTTTAGGACTTTTGTAGACTTTTCCTTCTCAAATATAAATAGTTGAAATCCAACCATCAACCCTAAGATTTCAAAATTTTCTTTCAACCAACTCTGAATGTTTTCTCTCTCTATTTAAAATCTATTTTTTCTCCCCATTTAAACATTATAAACCTTATACCTAAATTCAATCAATTATTTTTTCTTCATTATCCTATATTTTTTTTTCATACCTGAACTCTAACAATTTTTTCTCTCTCATAAACTTTACAATTTTCCTCTAAAAATTCAAAATAATATTATTTTTACTTCATTATTACTTGCTTATTTTGATTTTTTTATTTTTTTTCTATAAACTTTTTATCCCTAACTTCTAAACTTTCTCTATGAACTTTTCTCCATAATGTTTAAACTTTCTTTAATTCTTCCTAAATACATGAACAAAGCAAAATTTTCATCTATCACCGTAAAATTTTACTATATGGGTTTCATAATATTCATATAAATACTTATATTCATACTTATAACATGTTTTGTAAGAAGATTATAAATGATAAAATCGAAATCGTTGAAAGTGTGTAAGGATATATTCAATTTAGAATTTCAATGACTTTTGTAGACTTTTTAAAATAAAAAAATTGATAAAAGTTTATGAATGTTTTTTATATAGACTTTTATTGAGTCTTATAAAGTTTTAAAAAGTTTTGAACGACTCTATAAAAGTCAATCAAAGTTTATTAAAATATATCATTTTAAAAATTTTTAAAAGTCTACAAAAGTCATGATTGAATACACCCCCCTACAATTCCGTGGAGATTGGTAGAAATGGGTACAATGACATCCTACCAAATACCCCATTAAAACTTGCAAATTTGTCATGTTGCATCCACTTTAATTTATGGTGCGTTTGAAAACTCGGAAAATGATTTATGAAAATCATTTTTCGGGTTTCCAGTGTTTGGCTAGAGAGGAAGTCATTTTCCGTTTGCAGCAGTGGAGCAGCCAATCACCCGCCGCTGTCGCCGCCACCACCACCACTGTATATTTTAAATATTTAAAATTAAAAATGCTCATTTTTAAAAAAAATGAACCAAACACACCGAGACAGTTTTACGGAATGCAACCAAACACTAAAAAGGAAAATATTTTATGAAAAATGACTCATTTTCCAGAAAACATTTACAGAAGTCATTTTCCTGCTTTCCAAAGACACCCTTAATGTCATTCTAATATTTGATATACTTTCCTTTCTCAACTAGTATAATGGAGCACTATGTTAAATAATATTTAACCAAACATATTTAATATGATTATTGAAATATATATATATATATATATATATATATATATATATATATATATCACTTCACAACATGTTATTATTGTATTAATTTTTTTTTTGTATTTAATTACTGTACAAAATCTTATTAACTCGTGGTCTAAATAGTCAATTCATGTCTATCCAAAAAAAAATTATAATTTATTTAAACCTAATATGTAATGCCATTTCAAGGAGTGAAAATTAGAAAATAATTTTAATTGGAAAAAATTAAAGATTAAATAATTCATCTTTTATTATTATTTCTATTTATGGACGGAGATGAGATAATTTACCTTACCTAAATTTTAATATAATAAAACGAACTTAATTACTAACAACGGATCGGAGTACAGTTCCCAATTATTGTAAACTTGTAATTTTGTAAAGGAATGGGTAACAGTAAAAAGGAAGTACATATCTGGTCAGGAGAGTATTGCTATTGCACATTTGCACCTAAAACTTACCTCTTTTAATTAAATTTTTATTTCTCTGCTTGAATTTTGTTCCACCTATGTACGTAGCTAGCTATTAGCCTATAGTAAATGCCAATAATTCTGCCCATTTTTCATCTTCTAGCTAGCCACTATCATTTTTAGTATGCATAAGATGTATATTGAAGGTCCATTATATAAAATAATGTATTTTTTTTTATATATATAAGATACATTTTTAATATATTAAAAATATATTATTTGTGTACTAAATATACATTATTTGATAATGTACAAAATACCAGGATTATGTGGTCTAATGGTATTCAGGTTGGACTTCCATTTGGAAGGTTGTAAGTTCGAGCCTCAGTGGATGTGTTATTTAGCTTTTTGTGTTTCAGTAGATTGAGAAAGTATATGAACAGATACTACAATGTAATAGAGCTAGTAGCATTCAAAAAAAAAAAAATACAAAATAAGTACATAAGTTGTAATAATTGAGTAAAGTTATAACCAACACTTTTGGAATTAAGTTGGGTGTCCATGTTGCAATATAATAATTCAATCCCCTTGTTTAACAACTCTAAACCTTTCATGAAGACTGCAAAATTCAGTTGTGAAACTATATGTAATATCAACATTACCCATGAAAGGCGTAACTCAATTCTTTAACCTGTTAACCATATACCATGCATGAACGTAACTAAATTACGAATTGTAATCAAACATCTTTTGTGGTAAGAGATTTATTTATTTATTCGCACCGGCTTAGTTTAATGGTTTAGTGAGCAGTATTTGGGGTAAAAGACCAAGGTTCGAACCTCGGCAGCGGCAGTGTGGGGATAATGTTCAAAGTGGGCAGATTCCTTGTGTGCACCGTCATTTGGCCTTGCCTACTAGCCTGATTTACATCCCCCACATGCCCTCGAAGTGTGGGGAACCCTTAGGGTGGGGATTCAGCCTTTTGGGGTAAGTATATGATTTATTTTGGAGTGAGAAATATATAGCATTGGATTCTTGGAAATTGATGGCCATTGGATTCCAAAGTCAAGAATGCAAACACTCATCTATATTAATATTTGTGAGTGTGTGTATATATATATATTGTGATCCAATCATTTCTTGTACGACCTCAACCTTGTCCTTTTCCCCAGCAATTCTGGCTACCTTATCGGAGTATTTATTATTTATTATTTATATTTTGAGCCCAGCCCCCACCATAACCATTAACCCATCCATGTGTTTCTCTGCATCATATCAATCTATATATTATCTACGCACAACTAACTATACTATACTATACTATACTATACATGCATGCCTCAATTAACGCAATCATATGAGCAGCAACACCTTCCAAGTCAACATTTGGGACATTTCCAGATTTAAATAGTTCTCTCAAAGTCAAAGGTCAACAACACTCAGAGTTTGAACAGACTAAATAATTTCTCTTAATTGCCAGGGAAAAAAGAAAACCACTAAATTAAAACAACTATCATGGATGAAACCAAGACTGACTGACTCACTTTGTTTCACCATTCATGCATGCATGCATCCATCATATCCCTTCACTCTCTCATGTCGAGTTCCACTGTACCAGGGGGAGGCTGCAGGCTAATGTGTGCGCGAGACTTGTGGCCTCACCGGCGTCTTTGAAGGACTCACCCTGCAATATCATATCAGTGAATTCAACTACTTAATAATTTTCTCGAGGAAGATGTAGTGTTTCATGCCTCAACCCATTACTGCAATGAAGGTGGTTATTGTTTGGGAAAGAAGGGGGGAGGGCTGTGATAATAATAAACAGTAGAATCCATCAAATTAAAGCTAGCTCAGCTCCTTTCACATTACCTGATGTGTTGAGACCCCATCGTTTCACCAGAACAGTCCAGCGCCAAAATTGCACTCTCAGCCTGCATGCATGCATGTTTTTATCAACAATTAGTTCCCAATATCCTTACAATTTTCAATCTCGAGGGAGCCGAGGTATGAGAAGCTGCTAACGATAATTCAGCAAATTAAAATGATATCTTAGCCAAAGATTTGCAATACCCCACAAATACACATATTAGATGCTATATACGCATGCATTTCCTTGCCGTTCTAGAAATAAATGAGCAATTAGTATATTTCTTAAAGTATGAATATAATCATAGTCATAAATACCATCCTGTATGCCTGAAATGCATCCTTTTATAATTCGAAGAATGCATTAATTACTAGGCTAGTGTTTTATCTGTAAAAGTATCAAAAGTTTCTGTTAAGCATAAATCCATGAAAAAAATAAAATGCTAAATGCAGTCTAACTATTATAGTGTATCATTGAAGCTACTCAACTCATTAATGCAATTATCTTATCCTAAAAAGTGCCTGCTATTTTGTGAAAAGATTGAAGAATGCAATTACCTATTTAGCCAGTGCACATAGCATATTAATAGATAGGATAGCATTGAAAATACAAGTCACAAATATACTTGAGCAATCCGTTGAGTAATTTTACACCTTCATGTAACTAGCTTGTAAGAGACCCATCCATCGAGTTCAAAAAAAAAAAAATGAAGATAACCCCCCAAAAGTATGGTGTGAAGTGTAAACATACCACAACAAATTCAACAAAAGCAATTCGGGTTGAGTGAACTTGATCCCCCAAAAGCCTCAGGCGGGAAACCTGAAAAGAAAATTATTATTATTAATGTTAAATAAATAATAATTTCACTGCTTAGCCAACCTATTGAAACATATGTAGAAGAAATTAAAAACTCTCTGACCTCACCACATCTTGTTTCAAAAAAGTCTTTAACATCAGCTTGGGAAACCTGTTCACCATGACACCAATTTGCCAGTAATCAATTAGGATTGAAAGGAAAGTTTTTTTTCCGACCAGTAAAATTATGTTCATGCATGCATCTTTGCAACTATTTCTGAGCTACAGAACACTATATCCCAGAATATGCTTAAGACCAATAGAAACATTCAGTTAAATAAAGCACAGACGATTCCATCAATGAGAAAAAAGTTATACCTTCTTATCAATATTTGTGCAGTAAACTGTCCTAGTACACATCTCACGTTCATCCTCTGACTGTTAAAATAACAACCAAAACGAAAGAAGAAATGGAGTAACTATTTCCAAGAACAGAAATTGCATTTAAACAGGAATTAATAAATAGGTGAAAAAAAGCAAATTTCCTTTAAAATGTGCTCATACCCTGGGAAGGAATGTAGGATTCACAGGCAGGATGGCAGTTTTTGAAGGCAGGACCTTCAGTTGAGAGAAACCTAATATTGTGCCAGAGAGGCAAAGAGCTGCTCTAGCAGAGTCTGCTCAGATTCATTCCAGATGATAAGTCAGGAAACAACTTACAAGAACTCAAAGGCTTGGGAGCCATTCTATAAAGAAATTGGGTCAAAGCGTGCAACTTACATTCATCAGCAAACTCCACAAAAGCAAAGCGAAGACGGGAGTGAGGATCACCACAAACACGGCAATCAACAACCTACCCAGCATGTGTAAAAATAAAAAATGAATTTCCTCTTTCGGAAGTAAGGAATTCAAGGCCAAACCCCACTGAATTTACTCTTTCAAGTTTTTAATAAACATGTAGGCAATTTCCAATTTTCCCCACCGCTCTTTAAAGGTGAAAATTAACCACAGAATTTTAAAAAGAAGCGTTTTAAAAGTAACTACTGGTCAAGCTACCCACCATGCCGCCACTAAAAGGTTGTCTTCCCACTCTTTAAAGGAGAAAGAAAAAAGTTCCATAAACCATGCCTTTATATTTTAGAAACTCCGTGTATTTAAAAAAACCAAAATTTATATGTGGAATAAGGTTGAAGTTCAGATGAGTAAAGTGACTTACTTGTCCATAGGCACTAAATAAGGCAGCAAGACTCTCTTCAGTGATCTAAAAAACAGTAAAACACAAATCTTATAAACATCTTAGTCGAAAGTATAAGATTCATTTAACATTAATGAAGATCTAATGCATGCTTACATTTTGATCAATGTCAGAAACATAGACTGTTCTCCTGACAGTATCTTCTCTTTGAGCTCTGAAAAGCCTATTGCTTGTTCTCCTTCTACCCTGGTTGTTGTTGTTTCCTCTCTGCAGAAACCAAGTTATTTATTTGCCAGTGAACTATGAAAAAACAGATAAATGAGATAATATAAATCTAGTCTAGTTAAAAGAAATGTCTGTCCGAACAGACCAAATTAATATAAAAATAAAAGTTTATAGAATGTTACTCCTTCCATAGTTATCACCACCAGTAAATTTACCATGATTAAAACAAAGTTCCGTTTTGCTGCAATACACATTAGTGATGATGGATATGAAAACAAAACCACTCCAACATGGAAAGAATCAACTAAATCAATTGCTTGCATGGAAATGAAACCAGCCATGCAAATTAATGAACTCAAGATAGTGACTTTATTAACGACCATGTCAAAACACACCATTTCATTGAGATATCAAGACTTCAGAAATAGTTAGAGAGCTAGATATCCCAACACAAGTAGGAAGATATAAGGAGAAGATCAAATCTTGATTCAAGTGAAGCTGAAACATGATCCTTGAATAGATCAACGAGTTCAGAATTCGTTGTTGGAATTGGTTTTGGTTCAAATGTATTTGGACAAATGATTGACTGTGTTATTTTTAAACCAATTTTTAAAATACATTAGAGCAAGGGAGATGTCACAATGTACTTTCAACAAACCAAAACCCATCTATCCATCTTTAATGAACCAAATATGTCACTAATTGTTAACTAGCAAAATCAGTAGACAATAAACCATGTATCAGTTTTCATTTCCAAAATAGGAATGCACACCAATCATTCGACAGAGCAAATACTAATACAAAATAAGTGAATTTCAATTCTATTCGCCAGGATAAGTAAAATATTAATCTACTGTATGTAGTTGCAACTTGCAACCAAGGAATGAAAAAGCTGCCAAAAACCTTGTTACCTCTCTAAATAAGAGATCTTAGGTTCAATTCTCATTCACCTCAGATGTACCAAAAAGGCAATATCAGTTCCCTTTGCTGCAATCATGCTAACTTTTCCACTAAACTAACAATCAAGCATAAACACACCTTCAAACAACAAGTGAATATAGTCTTGTGACAGTAGATGGGACATGCAAACAATAAAATACAAGCACACAAAACAAACATAAAAAGGACATAATTCATCCAATCCAGTATATAAAATCCAGGAATCTACTCAAGTAAAACCCTAGAAGAGTGAAATTTTGGAAGCCATGAAAAAAAAAAAAAAAAAAAAAAAAAAACCTCAACAAGTATATGAACTCAATCAGAATGAAGAACAGAAATTATACCTTTCGATAATTCCGGACACCGTCAGGCCCCAAACCCTTATGAGCCCCCACGAAATTATGGACTCCCATTTGATCACGATGATAGGAAGAAGGAAAGAACTCCTTCGCCAATGGATTCAATTTCAAAGTCTTCAACATATCAACCAGATCCTGCATTTGATACTCTGATTTCGAGTTCAAGATCGAATTCGGATCAGAATTGGACCCCTTATCACCGTCTAACATGGATTCTGATTTCGCATTAGCGCTGAGATCAGAACCGGCATCGGAAATTTTGCCGGAATCGGCATAATTGTCCGGTAACGAAGAAGAATTCTCTGTAGCAGTAGCCTTAACCACTGCTGCCTCACCAGACACCTCCGCACCAGCAGCCATTAAATCAAACGCCAAAATACACTAAAAAGGGAAGTTTTTGTTTAAGAAATCACAACTCAGATGAATACCCTTTTATCAACCCCTCCAAAGACTCAATCTTGATGATGCCAAAGATCAATGGCAAAAGAACAGCTTTCAGAATTGGGTAATCTCCATATTTATTTATTTATTTGAAAGGAAGAACTATATTTATTCTCTCACATAAATTGATAAAATTGTTATGGAAAAAAAAAAACTATAATAAATGCATTCCAAGTTGTGACAAATTTCTGGAAATGAAACAAGGAGATGGATAGGAGAGAGAATACGTAGACAGAGACTACTGAGTTTTTGTGACGAATTTGATTACAAGTGTTGACGGTTTATGAAACAACAAAAAGGTAGCTTTGGTACTTTTTTTTGTCCAACTAACCCAAGGTTAGGTTATTTTATTTTATTATTTTTTCAGTATTTCTAACATAGTAAAACTAATTTGATATATATATTTTTCAATTCATTCTAGTTTACACGGTTACCCACGCCAACCAAACTGGTAAATAATTTAATAGTAATAATATTTTATAAGTATATTTTATGTGAGACGGCTTCATGTGAAGCGAATTTTATTCATATTTAATTCAAATGTATTCAATAATTTATATTGTATCATATTTTATATTTTATCAGTTATATATGTATAATTTTAATACACTTCTAATGGTTAAGTCAACAAAGGAAAATTATTAAATTCTAGATAAAATTAACATATAGACTGAACATCTTAAATAATTTCCCTAATTAGGAGTTTTTAAATAAACAATTACGGAGTAATAATCAACAAATAAAAATTACTTTACCCAAGACGGTTAACTAAAAATGTATAATTGTTTCAAAAAAAAAAAACTAAAAATAAATATACGGAGTATAATATTACACTGTCAGAAATTACATTGACCACTCGAATTGTCAGTAAGATGATGATGGTCGACTGTATGTGCCCTCACTCCTAGGAATTATTATTATTATTATTATTATTATTATTAGGGTAATTCTATTTGCACCACCCTATTTACTATTTACACCACTCTATTTAATAGGTATGATAATTTTGTAGGTGGTGCAAATAAAAAAATCAACATCATTAAATGTGGTTAGATATTAATATTTATTATTCCATTTTTTTATCCTCAAAATCTTAAAAAAAAAAAAAGAAAGAAAGAAAGAAGATAACCCACCCGTCACCTTCTCCGGTGAGAAGGCGACCCACTAGGCTGCCTTCTCACCGGAGAAGGCAGCAAAGTTAAAAAAAAAAAAAAAAAAAAAAAAAAAATCCGTCACCTTCTCCGGTGAGAAGGCAGCCGGAGAAGGCAACTGGGCTGCCTTCTCCGGCGAGAAGGCGACCCAGTGGGCTGCCTTCTCACCGGAGAAGGCAGCCCAGTTGCCTTCTCCGGTGAGAAGGCAGTCCGTCGCCTTCTCACCGGAGAAGGCGATGGTTGCTTCTTCGTTTTTTTTTTTTTTTTTTTTTTTTTTTTAAGAATTCAATTTTGATCTCATAAATGCAGTTTTAATAGGGTGGTGCAAATAGCATTTTGACCACCCATTAGGCTATTTGCACCACCCATATATTTATTATAATTTACCACCTTTTTACATTTTCAATGATACTTTACACCATATTTGGTCAAAGAGGGTGCAAATAGCAACACCCTATTATTATTATTATTATTATTATTATTATTATTATTATTATTATTATTATTATTATTATGAAGTCTTTTAAAAAATCAAATTGACGAAAAAAAATTAAAATAATGATACTGAAAACGTAGCACTATTTTGATGGGAACAGAGTTTTTGTCGGCAAAATAACTATTCTATCACGTTTTCTATAAAACTAATAAAATAAAATATTAATTTTATTCCTGCCACGTATTTTTATTCAATGAGAAAATGCTCAAATAGGCTCTCGAACTTTAATTGAAAAGTCAATTTGCCCCTACATTTTTTAAAAGTATATTTACACCCATTTACTGAGAAGGCGACCTTGGTCTCCTTCTCCGTGACCAGCGACCGTTCGCCTTAAATTTCGCTGGAGGGTGGTCGGATCTCTAATAACCTGTGCTAGCAGGTCATTAATAAGTTTTTGGGTTTCATTGTATCAAAATAATTTGTTGATGAATGTAATAATACCTTTAAAAAATTTAGGAAGCTAATTGACTTTTCAGCTAAGGATCGATGCCCTATTTGATCATTTTATTTTATTTTATTAAAAGATTTTTTAAAGAACTTTATGTTTGAATTAATTTGTAATTGTTATGTGAATAAAATAAGGATTTACACCCCCTTAGTTTTATCACTCACAAATAACCACTTCATGATGTGGTACAATCCTATACATTATTAGAGTTAAAGTTAAATTTTAAAAAAATTAATAAACTAATACCTAGGATTTTGCCACAGCGTGGAGTGATTGATTTATGAGTGATATTTAGCATTTTTCATAAAATAAAAATTAAAAAAGAAAGAATACTACAATCTACAGGTCCTATCTGCTATGATTCTACTTGACCCTAGTTAATTGGTGATGAAACTTGTGGTTAGATGAGAAAAAAAATTATATTACACATTTAAATAATCAGTAAATTTCACTAATATAATAGATAAACTTTCAATATAATAGATTACGATAATTTTGTATCAGGTAATGAGTTTCTCTCCATCTAATCCCAAAAAGAAAAAAAGAAAAAATTGTGAGAATATTAAATATTAAATGGGACCATTAACCGTTAAAAGGCATTTAATTATAAATTTGAACACCCGACTTAATAATTCATTATTGTTCTTACCATAGAGAATACGAGAGGTAAATTAAGAGAAGAATATGGGAGGTAAATTGTGTGATGTGCTCATTAATTATAAATTATATTATATAATGGTGTAATATAATTTATAATAGACTATTATCATTAAAATGAATATATATATATATATATATATATATATATATATATATATATATATAAGTAGAACCTACCTTTCTTCTTTTTATAATTACGATAAGAACAAATATCGTGAAGACTTTAAGAACAAGAGAATCAATTGTCTGCCCATAATTGGCTGTATTTATAAAGTTAATTATTAATTATATTTCCTTTTCAGACTTTTTTTTTTTGAAAGAATTTCCTTTTCTGACTTAATTATTCTTTTATACTTAATTGCTATTCACTCGTGGCACGGCAGCAGGGGATGTTAATTTAAAAATTTAATTAATTAACTTCTTGGTTGTTCCCTCTAATATTATTCATACAGCTATTTGTGAATTAATTAATCGTATTATAAAATAATTAGGTAAATTTAAACATTTAAAACAAAATTTAGAAAAAAAAAAAAAAAAGTAACATGATTGTTCTTAACAAATATTGGTGGCTGCTAAGCAAGTTTGGCGGATCTACAACCAAAATAATTTTTTTTTAATTTTTATTTTTTAAAATTTGATATGGAATTATATGGTCGGAATAGGATTCCCCCTTTATCTTCAACTGCGATTCCCTCTTTACCTTTGAACCGTCCCTTTTTAAAGGTGGAAAGGATTTTTTTTTTTTTTTTCCATAACATATCATAGTACTGCTCATTTCTTATATCTACTAGTTTTTTACGCGCATTGCGCGATTGAGATAATGCCCAATATTTTTTTTAAATAAGTATTTTAAAGTATATCAATGCAAGATTATATTGGAATTGTTCATGCATAGATAATTGAATGTTAAATTTGTGTATTTAAATAGGCAATTCTAAGTTTACAAATGCAAGATAATATAGTCAATATTGATTATAGTTGTCAATAAAATAATTGTATAGGTATGGTTGAAACCAAATACAAGACATAAGGGAGAGAAAATAAAAATTAGGACATAAATTATTAAATACTCCGTATATACTAATATTGTAGAGCTAACTACTGATTGCCAAACAAGGACATTGCGAGATAGTTTCCCACCTCAATTTGTTGTGTGATTTGAATACTCTTTTTATCAATAAATCTCCCAAGTAGTTAATATGATTGACTTAATTATATTTTTTATATTTTTTATTTTTTTAAAACAATTATTATTATTATTATTATTATTATTATTATTATTATTATTATTATTATTATTATTATTATTATATCATCATCATACCCTTAGGTCATTTTACATGTTAATCTAAACAACTAAGTTTTTTCAAATATCTTTTTACCAACCATTGATATAATTCGATGGTCAAATTCGCTAATATAATCCGCTAACGCTAACCGCTAACTGCTGATTGTCAAACAAGGATATTGCGAAGTTGTTCTCACTTCAATTTGTTGTGTGATTTGAATAGTCTCTTTGTCAACAAATCCTTCAAGTAATTAATATGATTAGCTTTATTAATTATATTCTTTTTAATTTTTTCATGGTATTAATAAAATACTTGGTAAATAAATATATAGCATTATTTTGTATTATAACTTTGATATTTAATTACAAAAAAATAGTGCACAAAAAAAGGTAATAGACAATGTGTGAATATAATCAACTGATGAATTTGAATGTAAAGAATTTTTACATTGGAGAAATATAAAGACAATATAACTAATAAAATTATTTCTCTTAATTAATTTATTAATAATGAATTATTTTTTTAATAAAGACATTGTAGGGACAATGTAGCAAATATAATCAATTGATGAATTTGAATACAAAGAATTTTTATATTGGAGAAAAATAAATACAATATAACTAATGAAATTATTTCTCTTATTTAATTTATTGATAATGAATAATTTTTTTTTGAATAAAGGCATTGTAGACACATAATTCTAAATTAAAAAATGATATGTATTATTTTTTGTTGTAGCTACTAAATTATTATTTTTAATTAATTTAATAAGAGTAAAATAGAGTACTAATTATGCCAACTTTGATTGGGATGAGGTTCGAACCTAAGACCTTTAAATTCTTATTAAAATCAATGAGTAAGTTAACGGTGAACTAACAGAGTACTTATTATTATTACTAGTTTTTTACGCGCATTGTACGATTGGGATAATGCCCAATGTTTTTTTTTTTTTAAATAAGTACTTTAAAGTATATTAAGGCAAGATTATATTGAAATTGTTCATGCATAGATAATTGAAGGTTGAATTTGCGTATTTAAATAGGTAATTCTTCTCCCAAAGGTTGAGTCCCCAACCCCAAGGGCTCCCCACACTCCGACTCGACAGAGCATTGTGGGAAGTTGTAAATCACGGTGACTCAATGGTTCAGCAGATAGGACCAAATGCCGGTGCGAACAAGGAATCTGCCCACTTTGGACATAATTCCCG